CTCTAGTGACAGATGTGTGACTTTGGGTGATCAAATTATTAAAAGGTGTGAACGATTTAGATATCTTGGGTCCGTTGTCCAAAGCGATGGTGATATAGATGGGGATGTTAATAGTAGAATTCAAGTTGGTTGGTTGAAGTGGAGGAATGCTTCGGGCCTTTTGTGTGATAGAAAAGTACCGCTAAGACTGAAAGGAAAATTTTATAAGATGGTGGTGAGACCTGCAATGCTCTATGGCGTTGAATGTTGGCCTTTAAAAGAGAAGCATAATAATAAGTTAAGTGTTGCCGAGATGAGAATGATTAGGTGGATGAGTGGCTTTACACTTAGAGACAAAATGCGGAATGAATATATTCGTGATAGGGTTGGTGTAGCTCCTGTGACAGACAAAATTAGAGAAAGTTGTCTTAGATGGTTTGGTCATATTAAACGTCGACCATTAGATGATCTGATTAGGAGAGTAGATGTTTTAAATTCGACTTGTGTTAAGAAAGGTAGAGGTAGACCTAGGAAGACTTGGGCTTATTGTATTAAAAATGATCTTAATTTACTAGAACTAAATGAAAATATGACACTAAATAGGACGCAATGAAGAAAAAGGATTCATGTAGCCGACCACCACGTAGTGGGATTAAGGCTTTGTTGTTGTTGTTGTTGTTGTTGTAAATTTGAATTTAGTAAATCCTAAGATAGTTAAATCCTACAAACTATTTGACTTGAGATTTTATTAAATTAGGTTAAATCTAAAGAAATAGTTTGACAAACTTGTTAAAAATTTAAATTCACTTAATATAGGTAGACTTTAAGTAATAATATTAGATGAAAATGTTATATAGATTGTAATTAAAACATCCAAAAACCATTAATTAATACTTCAATACTCATTAATTAATTGTTACTTAGTTAATTGCTATGTTAATTAATCATTAATTAAAATTATACCAAATGAACTTGAAATAAATAGTAATTCATAATTCTTTCAATTTGTTCAAACAAAAAAAGAATCTTTTTGTAAGAACTTTTAAAAATTTACTCTTATCTAATTCTGATTTATAAAATCCCCAATTGAAATTCTTCCATATTGAGGATTAAAAGTTTACAAAACTTTTTCAAAATAAACAAATTGTGATTGAACTTTAGAAGAAATTTAACTCTTCATTCTTCATGCAGAAAAATGTCCACCTGCAACTCATATTCTCTTTCAAGAACAACATTAAATTTGCAATTGATCAAAGCCATCTAATGAACAACCCTATCGTCAAATTTGGCACGGGATTCGATAACATGAACATCCTTTGCAATGATCAAAACATCGCAGTACCTGATCTTGAAGAAATCCTTGATAGAATTTTTTTTATGAAAGAGACAGTAGTTTCTCCTGTCTGTGCCGAACCTATCAGAGTACCAGTGAATGAGGGACACAAATCTGTAATTGTTAAACCTACCTTAACAAGAACTCAAATAAGAAACCAGAATAGAAAACTCAAGAAGATGTACAACAAAATGGCTAGAAAGCCAAGGCTACAGAAGTTGTATAGGAGTATGTACCTATTGCATTATCTGAGATGGTCAGAGATAGTC